CACCCTCCGGCACCCCCCGGCCCCAAAGCACAGCCCGGACACAACAGCAGCCCATCCCCGGGACAATAGCCCAGGCAAACTACCCCCGCCTCCCTCTGAAAACACCGGTTAACGGCCGCAGGATTTCAAAGTTCGGGATCCTCGACCTCTCATTATCTCTCCTCCCCCCGGGGAATGGTGGTGGGGTGTGGGGTGTTCCCGACACTAATCCTCACCTCGAACAACAAAAGGATCAAACAGCTGATCACCGAGCTCGGCCTGGGTCTTCGGAACATGGTGCTGGTGGGAGCTGCGTGACCGCTTCAGCAACTTGCCATCGCCAGCGAGCGGAGCCCCGAGCGCTGCTGCAGGGGCGAGCCTCCCCGTTACTGCCCAATCACAGCCCCGGCCACTCGGGGCCGCGCGTCGCGTCCCCGACCAACGGTCGAGCCGAGTGCAGCTGTCTCCCTGTCAAACTGGAATAGAATAATCCCATCCCAGTGTGGCAGCATTTCACTGTGAGCCGACAGGGACAATGAGAGGATGCAAATGGGTACCAAATGACATTTTACTTTCAACAAGTATTTCTGTCAAAACCAGAATTTTACTGTATTTTAAAAGATAGCTCCAAAGCTGAGCCCTGTTGGAGGTGTCATCGTTCGGATTTAACCAGTGCCTCAGTTCAAGTCGGTGTAAGAGATCCCATGGCACTATTTTGAAGCAGAGCAGGGAATTATCTCTGGTTTCTGGGCTAATATTTAACCCTTAACATTACAAAATAGATTATCTGGTTATTATGGAATAGTTAACCACCTTCACGATAGAAAAAACAATTGGAATATGGATATTAGTCTGTGAAGGCAACACAACCAAAGCAAAAGAAGCAGGTCAGGATGGTGAATATTGGAGGAGCATTTGCACATGGAGGTGTGCCATGCATCTGCTGCGGTCAGGTAGAGATCATGGGTTTGGAAGGTGCTGTGAAGTTGTTAACATTCTTCTACTCAGAGAAATAAACGACCATTCCCTAATTTTCCATAAACCTTAATTTCCGTTCCTTCTAAGGATTTATTTGAGGAAATTTTGTTGCATTGGACTCTTCATGCACCTTCCCAAATTTCAAGAGCTCATCTAAATACTTCATAAATGTCTTGAGGGTTCCTGCCTCTACCATCCTTTTAGATAGCAAGCTCCAGATACCTCTGGTTGAAAACAAATCTTGCCTTAAAACTGTATCTCCTGGTTACTGACTCCTCTACCCATGACAAAAGTTTCTCCAGCTATCTAGTCTCCCTTCATAGCTGAATCGCTCCAGTCCAGACAACATCCTAGCAAACCTCTTCTGTGTCCTCTCTAGTGCAATTATATCCCTTCTACAGTGTGGCAACCAGAACTGCATGCAATATTCCAGCTGTCGCCTAACTAATATACAGCTACATCTTGCATGTATCACAAATGCCTTCTTACTCACCTTATCTACCTGACCTGCTGTCTTTAAAGATCCAGGGACATGCACATAAAGGTCCCTCTGATCCTCTGCACTTCCCAGGGTCCTGGCATTCAACATGTACTGCCATGTTTGTTAGTCCCCTAAAATTGCATCACTTTACATTTTTCAAAATTAATTTCATTTGCTACTGTTCAGCTCATCTGACCAGCCCATCTATATCGTCCCATTGTCTAAGGCTTTCCTCCTCACCTCTCATCACACTACTAGTTTTCGTGTGATCTGTAAGCTTATTGATCACACGTTTTCCATTCATGCCTAGATCATTAATATACACTATAAACAGCAAGGCACCCAGGACTGAACCCCATGGTTTGCCACTGGACAGGGAGGGAACTTCACCAAATAACAAGTATCAACCATTTAAGGAAATAAGTGGATGGTAAACAGGTATGTGGAAAGTAGTGAGGAGGAGGAGAACAATAGGAAAATATGTGGTGGGAAATGGATGAAGAAGAAAATATATGGCAATGAAGGAGAATGAGAAGTGGCAGAAGCTGGATGAGAGGAGTGAATCTGAGAGTACTGCATTGGAGTGTCAGTGGAAGTGATTGTCCGTATTAACTGGGATAAACTGAGAGAGGAGAATGTGTGTGCCAGAACTGGAACAGAAAAGTGTGTGTTTTTTTATACAAGGTAGTTCTGTCTACTGATAAATAAATGAGTATGTCTAGGTAGACTTAGTTGATTCTAAGTTATTCTTCTAGTTTGTTGTTATTCGGTTCTACAGCCTATTGCCAAGTATCATAAATCTACTTACTATGTCTTAGAGGTAACAATGTCTCTTACCTAGTGTTAATGTTGGGAAATAAGTCTTAAACTGATATAACCTGTTATCTTACTATTACGTAATAAATTACCTTTTGTTACTTAAGTATGTGCTGCCTCTGCCAAAAATTTATTAATGGTTCATCACCATTTAATACTAGTAATCCCTGTAGTCTAGTATTACAAGAGCAGCAAACAAGATCCTAGCACAATCAGGTGATGTGGACATCTCTTACAACAGTGCCAATGTCAAACAAATGACTAGTCAAGCAGCGATTCATTGAACGTTAACTGGTTTATTGCTTGCATGCAAGGAGAGTCGGCAAACAGGGTTACTAGTAACCCTAGACAACAAGGTGCAGGGCTGGATGAACACAGCAGGCCAAGCAGCATCATAGGAGCAGAGAGGCTGACGTTTCGGGCCTAGACCCTTCATCCACTAGTAACCCTGCAAGATGAGTCTAAAACAGGCAGTTAAAGTTGCATTTTTATACATTAAGTCTGTTCCCTCATTGTCCAGTTACACCTTGATCATAAGCCTTAGCAACACAATACACCAATCATCTTATGACATTTACTAATACGTTATCTATTTTTAAGCTTAGCAGTCATCAGCCAAGTGTGGTTTTTGTAGTTAAAGGCATTCTGCTCTCTGCTGCAAAAGTCTTACTTTTGGAGAAGCTAGGAATAATTTTTAGGTGTCAGCTACGTCACTATCAGCATGTATATATTTTTTAAATCTAACTGTGTCTCAGAATTTTCCTGTTTTTTTGACTGTCTGGAACTTTCTATGGTTTCTAATGTCTAGAGCATTCTGCTGTTTTGCTGCCATTGTAACCTTTGCTCCACTGACTGGGTATTTTGACCCATTTAACATTATCCTTCCACACCAATTGGGACTAATGGAGTGGAAGAAGGAGAGTACCTTCAGTTGGTTAGAGATAGATGAGGACCAAGCTGATCTGAAAGGAATAAAATCAGTGCCTGTAAATGTTCGAGGAGAAGAATGACTCTCTGAAGGATAAGGCCTCCTCTAAACTGATCAGAATCTAATAGAATGCTCATATAATAGCGATTTTTGAGATGTTATTTGAGTAAGAGATGATTTGATTAGTATGATAAAAGAAGTTATGTTATTGTAAGGCAAATGCCTGGAATCAATAGGAAAAAAAAAGTAAATATACAGTAACACAATACTTAAAGTTTCACAAACATAACTACCACTCACACAAATCAAAGAGTAACAAATGCAATTTCAATGGGTAAACCCTAACATGACATTCCCTGGGAGATATGTAATGTCTTCAATAACTTTAGTTACAAAATAATTAATGATGCTGCTTGATGCTAATGATGCTAAAAAAAACCTGGTGAACGATTTAAACAGAGGTTACTTTCTCTTTGCTATAGTTAATTGCATTTTCAAACTTAGGCCTGCAATAGATTGTTGATGAGTCCCAAATTCACCTCGTCTTTCTCCATTCATCGTTATATTTCATTACTGTGGTGCTGAAAATTACATTTTTGTCAATGATGGTGCTAGTTTCCTTTGGATAACTAACAATAATCTTTGAAAGTGGAGATAGGAGGTCCCTTAGAATTGTAATATAATCGAGGGTTTCCACATAAAAAAGTTTTAGATCATTACCACAATACACCATAAAATTTCAATGTTATAAAAGTGTCAGAAAAAAATAGGGGAAATGCATTTTGTATTAAAATTATTAGTGCTTAATTTAAAATTATTTTGTAGTTATAAG